AGAGCCCGGGGTGTGTGTATGTGTGTGTGTGACTCCCAATGACTCAAGTTTGTGGGTTCGCTTATGGCCTGTGATGACTCCAGGGAGCCTGTTGCTGTGCAGTTGGGCAAGAGGGGATTGTGAAAAGGCGGGAGGGGATGCGTTTGCAGCAGCCTGCTGGGAATTGCTGTTAACACGAGTGAGGCATGATGCAGGACTCAGACTGCCAGTGCTGCCAAAGGCATTCCAAAGGGGTTTGCACACCGGGCAGGGAATGAAGCAATCTGCACTGTAATCCCGACACTGAGCCACTGAGTAACCTTGGCCAAGTTACTTCCCCTCTCTAACAGCTCTACTATGGGGAATAGGGCAATACTCAACTCTTACCTGGGGCTTTTCCTCCAGGAAGCTTAAAGGATCATTACTCCCACACGGGGACACTGAGGAACAGAGAGGGAAAAGTGACTTGTCCAAGGTCAGTCGCAGCAGAGCCATGAAAAGCAATTAAGCCTCACCCAGTGCTCTATCCACTTGGCAATGCTGCCCCTTCACCCAGCAGCTGGGAAGATTAACTAATTAGTGCATCCGAGGGGCTTAGAGATCATCACGGCCAAATCCCAGGAGGCACTGGGCTCAGTCCCAGAAGCTCGGCATGTCTGAGGATCGGGGCCACTGGGAGAGTCAAGGCTCCGTGCCCCCTAACTGGGGTGCTACCCCAGCCCCTGTGCACACTCACAGCCCGTACCTCGAACGACTGGAAAGTGAGGCCGACGTGGTAGCCCTCGGAGATTGTGATCTTCCAGGTGCACACCTTGTTGGGCCGGTATTCGTCAGGGTAGTTGGGAGACTGGATGTGGCCGTTGTCTTTCTTCATTTCTCCCCCGCAGATGGCTGCAAGGGAAGGGGGGGATGGTGTTTCCTGGCAGGAGAGGGGACGCTGTGCTGGGGCCTGGCCCGGGGAGCCCACTGGGAGAAAGTTTTTTGGGAGGCCCATTCCCAAGAGCAAAATTCTCATCCGCCCTCTCCAAAGAAAAGGGACCTTGGAGACCTCCCCCTGCTCCGCCCGGCCCCCTCCCACCCCGCGCGACCCCTCCGGGCCCCCGGTACCTTCGTAGACAGCGAAGAACCCTTTGCCGACCCAGTTGCTGCTGCTGCGGAACTCGATCCAGAGGCGGCTGTCGGTGGAGATGATGGGCTCGGGGAGCTTATTCCCGCAGAACCTGCCTGGAGAAGGACACGTGCTTGACGGGGTCTCTCGCCGCAGCACGTCCTGCAGGCCGGCAGTGGCGCGGGCCCTCTGCTGCCTGCACCGCCCGTGGGGAGCAAAACAGTTGGCAAGGCAACCTCGCTTTCCCACAAGGCCTGGCGGACACGGGCACGCTGCCAGTTTGGATGGGCGTCCGGCCGTTCCTGGTGTTTCCAGCGGGGGATGTGGCAAGTAGCGTTCTGGGGAGCACCGATGTGATCGTCGCAGAAATCAAATTCTGGGGCTAGAGCAAGTTACCAGAAAGGCTCCCTCTGGGGAAACCCAGTTTAGAACATAGAAGCCCAGGGCTGGCAAAAAACCTCAGGAGTCATCAAATCCAGCCCCCTGCCCAAAGCAAGAGCAACCGCAACTCCATCATCCCAGCCGGGGCTTTGTCAAGCCGGGACTTCAAAACTTCTAGGGATGGAGATTCCACCCCCTCCCTAGGGAACCCATCCCGAGTTTTCCCTAATATCCCACCTAGACCTCCCCCATTGCAATGTGAGACCATTGCTCCTTGTTCTGCCATCTGCCACCCTTGAGAATGTGGGGTTCTGGGGGAAGGAATTCTGAAGGCCCGTATGTAGGTTGAAAATGGTTTGTGCAGACATAAGCTGGAGCCAGCCATTTTTAAAGGCAGTGCAGGCTAATGGTCAAGCAGGAAACTAGCGATCAGGAACTCCTGGGCCCCGTTCCCAGCACTGGCTCACTGTGTGATCCTCAGCAAGTCTCCGAGTGGCAGGTTTCTCCAAAGAGTTTTGAACGCTAGGGGGTGGAAAATCTGGCCCGTCATGCCTCGGTGTGAGCCGCTCTGTCCCAAAAAGGGGAGACTGCCCCGCCTGCCTGCCAGATGGGGCGTGTGGATGAATAGGGTCATTTGCAATTGGTCACATGCAGGGGTCACTCCAATGCTGCATGTGCTTCATTTGCCAAGCACTTGGAAGATGTGGGTGAACATGGGGGAAGGATCTGGTTAGACTAGGGTAGGTAAGATACGCCCCTGGCTGAATCCGGCATGCCAAGCCATTTGATCTGGCCCGCTGTCCATCCTGCTGCTCTCCCACCCCCAGGCCAATCAAAACCGGGGGGGGGTGAGGGGAGTGCACAAACTCATTTTGTGTTCAAAGCAGCCGGTGGCTCCCTCCCCCGCTAAGGATGCACGGCGCCTAGAGGGAGCCACCAGCCACTCTGAATAGCGAATGACTTTGTGCACTTCCCTGCCTCTAGGTCCCGATTGGCTTAGGGGCGGGGGGGGCGCATAAAATCTCCTCCCCCTGCCTGTGGTACCTAGAGGGAGCCGCCCCTTTCTGCATGAGGCCCCGCCCCTTCTGGGGAGGGTGGGCCTGGCCCGTGACCATGCACCAAAATTCATGAAGTGGTCCCCCTGCAAAACTTATTGCCCACCCTGGGTCAGACGAACACCCGTCGGAGGTGATCTAGATAGATCGAACGCTGCCTCGGCTCTCGGGACGGACTACTCAGCGTTTCTCAACCTTTTTGATACCAGAGACCGGCCGGCTACCTTCCTGAACTGTGAGGGAGATCTCAGGTCTCATAGACTCATAGACTTTAAGGTCAGAAGGGACCATTATGATCATCTAGTCTGACCCCCTGCACAGTGCAGGCCACAGAATCTCACCCACCCCCTCCTAGAATAATCCTCTCACCTATATCTCAGATATTGAAGCCTTCAAATAGTTTGAAGACCCCAAGATGCAGAGAATCCTCCAGCCGTGATCTGTACCCCATGCTACAGAGGAAGGCGAAAAACCTCCAGGTCCACAGACCGGTCGCGGAGAAATACTGCCACAGGCAACCCTTTGATATTCCTTCCAGCGTTATGTCGCTATGATTCTCCGGTTGCGTTTCTTATCTCACACTCATGTCAATGGGGATTAACCCCATTTACCCCACCGGGGTGAGAAAGAGGAAAAAGAAGCCCAAAACACTAATTACTCTGCCCGCTCTGGCTGACAGCGTGACCACCACTCAGCATCACTGCGGAAACTTCCTTGCCACAAGCAAATAAAGCAGAAAAGGCGGAGAACGCGGGCAGGGAGAGCTGGGAGTTAATGGTGGAGGAAGAGGTTATTATAGAGATTGAGTTCCAGCAGCACAACATAGGGCCTAAAAGATTCTTGCTGGTTACCTCGCTGTGTGGCCTTTCTCCAGAACCCGTCTCTCACCTCCACGTAATCATACCAGCATAGCCGGCTTCGGTATAGATCCATGGTCGTGAAGTTCAGGATGATCTGAGAGAGAAAACAAGCAGAGGTTAAACACCCCCTGTGCAAGGACCCAAGGATAACACACAGGCTAAGTGAGTGCCTCCTCCCCCTCTGATAGCTAGGTTAGGACAGGATAAAAGCCTACTACTGGTGCCAGCTCAGAGTTACCTCTATAACGGATGTAGTGTTAGCCTGTACCCAGCTCCCAGGTTCAAAACCATCCGGGGTTCGTTATGCCATTCCATCCATGTCTTTCCATGAGGCTTTGAGGGTGGGACACTGAACCCAAGAGCAGCAGTAGGGCTTTCCACTAGCTTCCGACAGGCTTTGAGGGTGGGTGACTGAACCCAAGAGCAGCAGTAGGGCTTTCCACTAGAGATGCCGAAGTTTAACCAGTTAACTGACTAGATGATGCTGGTTGGTCCCGGTTAAAGGTTAAACTCCCACGAGGCTGAGCTTGTTGGTCTCGTGTAACTGATTTCATTGGAATCAGTTACACGGTTACTATTTTTTTAGGAGTTTTTACCTCCCTATGTTACGCTTGGTGGAGTCACGAACCCATCATGTCCTCTGCTCAGCTGAGGCTCTTTCCGCCATCTCAGATTCCTAACTGTCAGGGTGGTCAAATATTGGAATAAATTGCCAACTGGTCTCGTGTAACTGATTTCATTGTAATCAGTTACACGGTTACTATTTTTTAGGAGTTTTTACCTCCCTACGTTCCGCTTGGTGGAGTCACGAACCCATCGCGTCCTCTGCTCAGCCGAGGCTCTTTCCACCATCTCAGATGTCTAGAGGACGTCAGTGCCCGGAAGCCACTTTGATCCAAGACCTGCCCATTTCCAGAAGCAACTAGACACCCTCTGCCCAATGTGCAGAAGGGGGGTGCTCACTACGGCGTGAAAACTGTGGCCCATGAAGGCACTTCCAGTTAGGAAGCTCACAAGTCAGGCAGCCCAAATCCCCAGTGGGTTGTGATCAGAAGGCCCAAACTTTGGAAAGCTGCACCTCTGCACCGCAGCAAGAACGAGGCCCCTCTGCTACTGCCAGCATCCCTGGCAAGTTCCACCGCCGGCTGGGGAAAGCTGTCAATCAACACAGACCAATGTCCAAAGGGGACCGCACATTCGGGGTTTAGCTTTGGACTTTGGGTGGAAATAAAGGACAGAAACACAAACTGAACCCTGGCTGGCGTGGAGTTTCCTTTGAGTTTGAGGTGGGGACTACCGGTTAAACGCTCTGGTCCTGCAACCTCGGGACTGGACCGGCATCCAGAATTTGCCGACCCACCGGAGAGCAATATTGTCTAGCAGCATTCCCAGCACTTTCACTGCTTACTGGGCTCTTGGAAGTTAAATTAGAGTTAAATAACAGCACAGAACGCTGGGAGCCAGGCCTGGTGGCTATAAACAAACTTTATGGGGCTGTGAGAAACTGGGCCACACCCATGCTAAGTGGACATGAGATGAACTAAAATCATGCCGGACCATGGATGTTACCGGATCAGAGAGTGCCGGGCTAGAGAGGTTCTCCTGGATGCATTGGAGAGGGTCCAGCAGAGGGCAACCAAAATGATGAGGGGGCTGGAGCATATGACCTACGAGGAGAGGCTGAGGGACTTGGGTCTGTTTAGTCTGCAGAAGCGAAGAGTGAGGGGGGATTTGAGAGCAGCCTTCAACTTCCTGAAGGGAGGTTCCAAAGAGGATGGAGAGAGGCTGTTCTCAGTAGTGACAGATGGCAGAACAAGGAGCAATGGTCTCAAGTTGTGGTGGGAGAGGTCCAGGTTGGATATTAGGAAAAACTGTTTAAGTCTCGGCTTGACAAAGCCCTGGCTGGGTTGATTTAGTTGGGATTGGTCCTGCTTAGGGCAGGGGCTGGACTTGATGACTCCTGAGGTCTCTTCCAGCTCTACGGTTCTATGATTCTATAAGCCCCCCAGGAAAGCAAAGGTTCCCGTGAGAGGACTGCGAGAGGCTGGAATGAAACGCAGGCAATCATGACTTTGCATCAAGCTCTGCTGATTAACTCCTCCGGCTAGAAAAGGGCCCCGACGGCAGAGCCTGGCTCCAGATCTCACTGCACCCCCCGCACGGGCAGTGTCGGAGCTGGGTTCCTCTCCAAAGTCCCGCAGAGCTCTGCCTTGCGAGACGGCAGCTAGAGGCACTGACGAGGTAGAGCAAGGAGCCTGCCTCGCTGCTGACGTGGGAAAGCCGAGAGAGCCGTCGGCTGGCATGAGCCAAAGGCAGGCGAGTGGGGGAGGGAGGCTCTAGATGGGTCTAAGAGCAAGAGTTGAACCAGGAGAGGAGCACCAAGGACTCGATCTAACACTCATTGAGCATCTTGGGAGCCTGCCCAGGGACGTCAGCGGGGCTCTGGATTGGCTCATTCGGCAGATCACTGGGGGGGGGGGATCTTTCCAAGTCCCCCTCCACGGATGTGCGGGGAGCCCCATAGACTGGAGCAGCCATGGGGAAAAATCGCAGGGGCTCAGTGCCCATTGACTGCCCATCGCCTGCCTCCCCCCCAGCACCTCTCACCTGCCGGCAGCCCTGCGAACAGCTGTGTCCCCCCGGCCCGCGGGAGATTTCCCACGGGCTGGCAAGGCCCCCGGGAACTGCCCACACAGCTGTGCTAGCCCCTGCTGGGGGTGGCCCACGAGGCCGGTTTGGTCCCCAGCTGGTGTAGACGTGGTGCCCATTGACTGCCCATCGCCTGCCTCCCCCCCAGCACCTCTCACCTGCCGGCAGCCCTGCGAACAGCTGTGTCCCCCCGGCCCGCGGGAGATTTCCCACGGGCTGGCAAGGCCCCCGGGAACTGCCCACACAGCTGTGCTAGCCCCTGCTGGGGGTGGCCCACGAGGCCGGTTTGGTCCCCAGCTGGTGTAGACGTGGGGCTATCCACCCCAATCTAGCTGGGATCCCTTGTTGGCAGTGTGGAAAAGGGTCTCAACCACGCTGGACAGGCCTTTCCCATCCCAAGCTGCTAGGGATCTGGTGAAACCTGAGGGCATAAGACTCAAGAAAGGGCTAACGTCCCCTGGGCCAGGGTGGGCGACAACGAGCAGGTACCTTTTCCCCAGGGGTGACCGATATCCTCCAGATGCAGTGCATGTGTGCAGGGTATCCGTTGGGGAACTCCGGGGAGGAGAAATTCCCCTGGCTGTCCTGGAGGGTCTCTCCACAGGCTGGGAACAACAGGAAAAGGAAGAGGGTTAAACCCAGCAGGAAAGCCACCCATGCCCCCAGCAACCTGCCAGGCGAGGGGGTGAGAGGCAGAGGGTTTGGGGGGCAAGGCATCCAAATGGGAGAGAGAAAAGAACCTTATCCCAGTCTTCCCCCAATTCCAGCCCCAGGAAGGCCCCGCACAGAGGACCTAGCAGAGATGAAGCTACAGATCCAAGCCACTTGCACCTAACGCATCGCTACCCGGGCCAGCACCACCTGCCTCCCCAAAGCCACGCCTTGATCCTTCCACCTGCAGCCCTCCGAGAGCAGGGTCCAGGCCGGCGGACTGAGTGTCTCGCCTGGTCACAGCAGAGGCACGCAGGGACGTGTTACTGTTACCGGCATGGATTCGGAAGGGGCACCACGAGCCAAGGCTTGGAAAGGGGGTGGAAGCGGAGGAGCTGGGTGGGCGGACGGGGAGGAGGAGGCTGGGGACTTCTAGCAGCAGCAGGTGGATCGATGAGTAGGGGTGTTAAATATCGGTTAACGGAATAGTCGAGTAACCTCATGAATTCTTATCGGTTAGGCGACTATTCTCCAGCCCTCTGGGGGGTTGGATCAGTGCAGGGTGCCAGGAAGGAGCTGGGTTTAAAAACCAGCTCCCTTTGTGGACCTGCTGACCTGTGCTGCTGCCTCTGATAAAGAGGCAGCAGTGTAGGGTGGCAGCAGCCCCTGTATGGGGGGGGATCTGAGCTCCCAGACTTGGCATAAGCCAAAACTGACTCCGATTGCCTGCATGCTCGGTTCCTAACACACTTTAAATGCAGAGCCACAGTGGGGGTAGGTCCCAGACATGGCATGAGCCGAAACTGAGTCAGATTGCCTGCCCGCCTGGCTCCTAGTACACGTTACATGCAGAACCGCAGCGGGGGTAGGTCCCAGACCCATCGCAAGCCAGGAGTGAGCCAGGCTGTTGGCCAGCCTGCTGAAAAATTTAGTGGCAAGGGAGGCGGGGGGGAAGGGAAATGCGTGTAGTCTGTAGCATTCTCCTATAAGCTTTTGCTTCTCGGTTAATCGACTTCATCATCACAACCCTCGTTCAGAGAGGCTAGGTTCGTACAGGGAGGAAGAGCAGCCGTGGAGTGGGTGGAGGGCAGAGCTGGAGTCGAGGTGCGGGAGTAACAGCTTGGTGCGAGAGGACAGTGGCCGCAGGGCTGGGGGCGGTTGGGAGACAGGAAGGGGATTAGAGCTGTAAGGAGCCTCAGAAACCCCCAGCCTGCTTGGGCTCTGTCTCTGAGCATTCTGACCTGTCGGTGGTCCTGCTGCAAAACCGCACCTGTGCGCCAGGAACACCCCAAAGCTTTTGCACCGCTGCCCTGGGGGCACCAGCCTCCTTCGGCAGGCCCAGCAGCTCTTGACAGTCCGCAGGGCCGTCCGTAGGATTTATGGGGCCCTACGCAGCCCGGCTGAACTGGTGCCCCTGTGCCCGACGGCAGCGGGGACGTTTTGGAGAGATGGGATTTTATCATCTTCCAATGGCATCTTGTGAAAGCAAATGAAACGAGCTCCTCTCCGGAGGAAGCGGCGCCACAGAGCAGGGAGAGGAAGAGGCGGGTGTGTGGACATGAAGACCCAGCGGTGCCCCAAATTTGCAGGTCCCCAAGCAGCTGTGCATGGGTAAAGACGGCTCCTGAGGCCGTGATGGGACAGGAAGCTCCTTTCGACCCCGAGTCCCATTCCAAGGGAGCACAAGGCGAGGGAGACCAATGGCTCAATGGACCAACAAGCACTGAAGATGGGCTGATCCCGGGGACAAGGACAGGGCCCTCTCTGCAGGGCCACACAGCCCATCACCGCACGCTCCCAGGAACTGCAGACACGCGTCTCCGGCATGCTCAAAGCAGCGCGCGCTGCCCCATGGTAGCTTTCACGGACGCCGGCGTCCCACGGCTGCCGAGTTCAGCTCTGAATGCAAAGTTCCGGGAGGCTTGGACCAGGCTCAACCACCAGCGGCTTTCAAAGATCCCATCCCTCCAGACAGCACATCGCACAGGGGCAATTTATCCCCCTTAGCCGGCCTCCGTCACCTGGGGTGGGCGCTGACCCTGCATCCCTGCACAGGTTAGTACTTGCAAACCTGATGCTGAACATCCCCCCCCCCCGCCCCGGCTCCCAACCCCTCTGGCTGTTGTCGCTCCAAGTGAAATCTCCCTCTTGTGTCTCTGGGTTGCAATCCGAGTGATACGCAGCAGCGCTGGCTTTTTAAGAGGCCTCTCCAATTAAATCAATAGCCGGGACTGAGGCGCCCAAGTAGCCATGGAAACCCAACCTGGTGCCCTGTTGCCACAGCAACTGAAGTTCCGACTTTAGGATGGAAAATGAAACCTTACGAGAGTTTTCGTGTCGCGGTCCCTCCCCAGCCTCCTCTCTGCCTCTCACTCCGATCTCGGCCTTTCCAGCAAAGCAGTTCTCCCAGGAACAATTCCCCCGCCTTCCAGTTCCAATAGCCACCAAGCTAGAGCCGCAAACCAGGGCCGGCCCACAACATTATGGCACCTGAGGCGGGGAGCTCAAATGACGCCCCCATTTCTCCTGCCTGCCTGTTATGTCTCTTGTGCCCTCCTTCCTCCAGCCCAGCACTCCGCCATCTCTGTGCATCTAGAGCAGAGAGAATACATATGCACCAGCAGCAGACACAATTTTCTACACTCTGGGTCCTAGTGATCACCCCCCACACACACAGAGTCTGGCACCTGAGGCGGCCACCTCAGTTCACCTCTCCCAGGGACTGCATCCGTACTAGTGCCCCCGTGGTGGCGTCAATCCCGCCCCGCCTCCCTCCGGGCAGGAATCCTGCCCCCCCCCACTCTGCCACTTCCTGCAGCTGGGCCCGTGACAGGTTTAGTGCTTAGCACTGTCTGGAGCTAGCCCAGTGTTCCCATCTGGAAGCCACATCACCTAGTCAGCTGTGGTGAAGCTTAGAGGCCTTTCAATATCACGGTTCGTGGGCCAAGACAGCCTCCCTGGGTGTGAAGCCAGCCTGGGGGCGTGCCTCCAAGGAGCAAGGAGCAAGGTGAAATGTAAAAATCATTTCAAAATTGGGGAAGAGGGAAGCTGAGGCTCTTTTTAATAATCACGTTCCCTGCTGGGTTTCTAACCTTAGAAATACTGGCCATGTTGACCAATGTTCCGTCTAACTTTTTTCCATTCGTGGGCAGAATAAACCTCCTTGCAGGCTTCTGTCTCCACGATAAAGGAGCAAAAGTGGCAAAAATAAGCCACGTGCTTCGTTTTATTCCACAATACAGCTTATCTCTAAGCAGCAGGGGTTTCTTCGGGGTCTGCTCTTGTCCCAAGGCACGGTCTGTGTTGATTTCTGGCTCTCGGTCTGTTCTCTGCAGGGTACTTAGATATTACACCCATTTGCAACGCCTCGGTCACTATAGCACCTGTTCTGTAAATACATTACCTGTTTCTAGCAACGTTGCCCTTTGGATCCTGGAGCACTTTGCACACATGGATGAATTCTGCCTTGCAACCTGCTCCCTTCAGCCCAAACATCTGGGTATTACCCTCATGTCCTAGATGGGGAAACTGAGGCACGCTGGAATGAGCAGCTCATACCCAGCCAGTGACAGGCAGGAATAGAACCCAGGCAATCCAGCTCCTACACAGCCTCATTCTTTGGCTCACTGGGCCAAGTTCAGACCTCAGGCTGCACTGGGGGTAACTCTACTGACTGTGTGTCTCAGCTCCCCATCTGTACAATGGGGGGGGGGGTCTTAATTGTTCCTTTGCCTTGTCTATTGACCTTGTGAGCCCCTTGTGAGGCAGGGACCGCCTCTTGTGTGTACGTACAGCTCCATGCGCAATGAGGGCAACAGGTTTAAAACAAATAAAAGGAAGTTCTTCTTCACACGGTGCACAGTCAACCTGTGGAACTCCTTGCCTGAGGAGGCTGTGAAGGCTAGGACTATAACAGGGTTTAAAAGAGAACTAGATACATTCATGGAGGTTAAGTCCATCAATGGCTGTTAGCCAGGATGGGTAAGGAATGGTGTCCCCAGCCTCTGTTTGTCAGAGTGTGGAGATGGATGGCAGAAGAGAGATCGCTTGATCATTACCTGGTCGGTTCACGCCCTCTGGGACACCTGGCATTGGCCACTGTCGGCAGACAGGATACTGGGCTGGACGGACCTTTGGTCTGAACCCGTGTGGCCGATCTTATGGTCTTATGAGGCAGCTGATTAGAACTCGTTAGGAGATTTCCCGGTGTCTACCCCAGCCTCCTCCTCACGGCTGCCAAAGCCTCTGCAGAACAAAGCTCGGATGGCTGATCGCTGATCGCACCAGGGATGTCAGGGAAACCAGATGGAAGACACTTGCTCTGAAGCCTGCGGGAAGCCCCAGCGGCAGACTGGAGACTGACTGCTCTTCGCCAGCCGATCTTCCCCATCAACAAAAGTGTGGCCTTGTAGCCAAGGAGGCTGATGGCATCTTTGGGTGCATTAGGAAGAGTATTTCCAGCAGATCTAGAGAAGTGATTATTCCCCTTTATTCGGCACTGGGGAGGCCACATCTGGAGTCTTGTGTCCAGTTCTGGGCCTCCCCACTACAGAAAGGATGTGGACGCATTGGAGAGGGTCCAGTGGAGGGCAACCAAAATGATGAGGGGGCTGAAGCACATGACCTGGGAGGGGCGGCTGAGGGATCTGGGCTTGTTTAGCCTGCAGAAGAGAAGAGTGAGGGGGGATTTGAGAGCAGCCTGCAACTTTCTGAAGGGGGGTTCCAAAGAGGATGGAGAGAGGCTGTTCTCAGTGGGGGCAGATGGCAGAACGAGGAGCAATGGGCTCAAGTTACAGTGGGGGACGTCTAGGTTGGAGATTAGGAAAAACTCTTT